GAACAGCGGGAATAAAACGGAGGTGGAATAGAACAGAGGGAATGAAACGGAGGTGGAACAGAACAGAGGGAATAAAACGGAGGTTGAACAGAAGAGAGGGAATAAAACAGAGGTGGAACAGAACAGAGGGCAGACGGTGAGAAAACAAAACAATAAAACGAGTAGAGAAAGAAAGCAGCGATGACAGACACAAACCGGAGCACAGACACAGAGTCAGGATACAAGCTGTTGTCAGTCCAGCGTTTATTTCCCATCATGCCTCTGGGTGTTAAAGGAGGCAGCGACCTCTGACCTTTAACCTGCACCAGTCACACCTGAGCACAGGTGAGCTCAGAGCCCACTGCCTGTGATCAACAATGACTGTGTGTCCGGTGTAATCTGTCATCCGGACTCTTACTTACTGGATTCTATGAGGAACTAACCCAACATGAGGTCAGAACCACAAACAGGCGTCACATTTTAAACGTGTTTCAAGAATCTGAATGAATGCGTTGATGTTTGGGAATAAAAGTTCTGGTGTCAGCCCAATAACACCACGGTTCTGTGCAGCTCGTCTCCGTGAGGTTCTGTTTGACGTGTTTCTGTTCACCATTTACTCACTTCTCATCCAACCAATCAGATGAGAGGGACTCGTCACCATGGCAACCCAGAAAATGGAGGAGAAGCTTCAAGTGTGTTGTGAAAGGTTTTAACCAGAACCACGACATGTAGTGTTGGAGCCTGAACAGAACCAGACAGAGAATAAAAACCCAAAGTAAACAAAACAAAAAGCTAAGTTCCTCTGAGGAAGGTTCTGGTTCTACAAGGTCAGAACCAGGAGGAGGACGGTTCTGGTTCTACAGGGTCAGAACCAGGAGCAGGAAGGTTCTGGTTCTACAGGACCTGCTGCATATCTTTATTTCTAGTGAACATCACAGCGTTCGCCGTGCTCCTATAGGTTTAGAACCTGTCGGTTATTTTCTGACGATTCGTTCGTCGCCCATCGCAGAGCAAACATCGGTCTGATTCATGGCTTCCTGGCTGATAAATACCGTCACCTAGGTGATGTTTTTTTAAAGCTAACATGAATTTTAAACCCGTGGGCTGGTTCTGGTGTTCAGAGGGTTACAGGTGAGACCAGATTCAGGTGAAAGCTGCTGATAAGCTGCATCATGAAGCATCCTGACAGCTAGAAACAGGCTGCAGTGTCTCACCAGGTGTGTGTCCAGGTAAACCCTCAGGCTGTCCAGGTCCTGTCTGGGCTGAGTCCAGTTCTCGGTGCTGTCCAGAGCCTCCTGCAGCCACGAGATGAACCCGTCCAACTGCTGCACCAGACGCTGGGGACACAGTTCAGAGTGTGAGTCTAACAGCAGTAATAAGAGGCAGCGAGCAAAGCTGCTGGAGTCACATCACAACAACACTTCAGAGCAGAACGAGACGAGATCAAAACGCTGAGAGGAGCGAGCAGCACGGCAGAGCGCTGGACGCTGGTTAAGAGCTGATTCCACATGAATTAATTCAAGGACAGAAAGAGAACAAAAACAGGAAACCCGCAGGACGGAGCAGGTAAACACTCATTCTGATAAATACAGAGAGAAGCAGGAGAACCAGGAGGAGAACCAGGAGGAGAACCAGGAGGAGAACCAGGAGGAGCACTGAGCCGACAGAGGGACAGACAGCCGAGTAAAACAGCGAGCTGAGTGGAGGCAGCACAAACAAAGACAGAAACAAGAGTACATGTTATAAAAGCAACGGGAA